CAGTCCCACAATATTCCTTTTCCTGTCTCAGTTTGTTTCTTAAGACTAGCATAGTAAAGACTTCTAGTCTGAAACACTCACTTTTATTCCTTTTTGCTATTACTATGAAATATTTGAAAATGCCTAGGATTACAAATAGGTATTATATCATTTCAAAGAACAGAGATTCTATGCATTATATCATTGGGATAATATGTTAATATCTTCAAGGAAATGAAAAGATATGTACCAGACTAGGAGGAAATACTGGTAAAATAATAAAAGTTTTTTATCTAAGTGGATGGTAAAATATATAAAGAGCTATTACATTCCAGCAGTAAGAACACAGACAGCACAGTTTAAAAATGGGTCTAAGATCTAACAGATTTCTCATCAATTTGACATTTATTTATTTATTTATTTATTTATTTTTGGCGGGACCAGGGATTGAACTCAGACCCTTGCACTTGCCAGGGAAGCACTTATTCTATTGAGCCATCTCCCCAACCCCCAGATTTCTCATCAAGAAAGACATAGATGGTGAAGAAGCATTTGAAAATATGTTCAATATCATACACCACTAAGCAGTTTCCACTGAAAACATGGAAATAAAATAAAATACTGCTGCATGGCTATTAGAACGAACAAAATTTGGGATGCTGGCAATACAAAATGAAGGTGAGGATGTGAAGCCACTTAGCTCTCATTTATTCCTGGTGAGACTGCAAGAAGGCCACCTTAAGGGACAGTTTGGTGGCTTCTCACCAAAGTACCATATGATCCAGCAATTACACTCCTTCAGTCACCCAAAGGTGTTAAATTTTAATGAGTTAAAAACTTACATGCACCCAAGAACCTTTTGGGAATTTACTAGTGATTGTCAAAGTTTAGAGGCAACCAAAAGGTCCATCAGTAGATTCATTTATTAAAAAAAGTGATGTCACCACACAGTGGAATATGACTTAGTGCAGAAATTTTAAGACAATCTATTTTTGAGGTGGTTGCATTGCTATTAGGAGCTTTTAGCCAAGTCTTATAAATTAAGAGCAGAACTTTTGCTTAATTCAATGAGAAGAAAGAGGTGTACTAACAGTGTTTGGACAGAATATCCTGTCTGCTTCTTGTACTATGGATAACCACTAAAAAGATAACAATGTACAATGTATTGATTATCAAAACTGTCCTATTAATCAG